TGTGTTGGAGGGGTCTGAGAGGTGGAGAGAGTGTGTGTGTGGGGGAGTCTGTTGGAGGGGTCTGGGAGGTGGAAGAGATAGTGGGGGGAAGGTTGGCGTGTTGAGGGGTCTGGGAGGTGAAGAGAGAAAGAGTGGGGGGGGGCCAGTTGGAGGGGTCTGAGGTGAGGTGGGCGGGGGCACTGAAAGGAGGTGATGGAGGGGGCTGGAGGACTTGGTAAAGGTCAATAGTGGTATACAAGTGTACAGGACTAACTGTCAATTACTTACAGTATTATAGTGATCATTGGTCGTAGTTAATACAACTAAACTGGCCGGTTGTAAAGGTTTAAACTAATAACTTAATCCTGAATAAATGCAACTAACTCCAGACTGACCCAAATTAATAAATTACCTGTGATACAGTATATATATTGTATAACAAATACGTACGGTATAATATAGAACGTAACTTATATGCATCTTAACATTTGCCACAAGTTAATGGATCATAAATTGAAAGTTAGTTTTGAGGTTAACAATAAATGACTGGTTGAAATTATTAAAAATCAATAGCTTGTGTACTACTCAGTTTCCTTTTCAAAATCTAATACTGTACTCTACTGACTTGATCCTCAGGTGAAGTTGGCCCCAGTAACATCGTAAGGAGATGCAACTTGAAATGTCTGAACAGGTAAAGTTAACATACTGAGTTTGATTAATGCTTGTGTATTACACAGGAGAGCAGGCTTTATACTAGGAACACTTAAGGGGGGCTTGAGTATGGTTCATTAAGTGGTAAACCTTGTGTAAAACTTCATCAGAGAGTATTAACTACAACACTAATGCGCCTTAAAATTATACCTTTTGTAGATGTTATTTCAGTAAACAAAGGACAGTATAAGCACATGTAGTCTGCGGTAGATGCTAATTGCTGGTTTACCTTGTACATAAATTACAACTTTAAACATGTTGCAGATGACAGCTGATGCACGTGTGATGACCAATGGAGAGAAGAGAAACTGAGCAAGATGTATCCCCAGCATGTTACTTCAGCCTCATCAGTTAAGTTACTTATGTATCTTAGTATGGGCCAGCCCCCAGAAGTAATGGGAGGTAAACTAAGAGGAGTGGGGAGGGCGCCGTGCTGTGGGAGGGCGCCGTGTTGGTGGGAGGGCGGCTGGGCGGTGGGAGGCGCTGGTGGCGGTGAGGGCGCTGTGGCGGTGGGAGGGCTGTGGCGTGTGGGAGGTATGCTGTGTTGGGTGGGAGGGCGCTGGCGGTGGAGGGCGCCAGGCGGTGGGAGGGCGGCTGTATGTGGTGGGGAGGGCTAGCTGGGAGGGAGGCGCCATGGGAGGGCGCCAGGTTGAGTGGCGCCAGACGGTGGGAGGCATACAGGTGTGCTCACACAATGGTGAATGGAGGCATAAAACATAAATGTGATGCCAAAAAATAGCATGTACTGTGAAGGCATGTGTGGATGATGCCTAAGAGAAGACTGCTGCAGCCATAAGTGAGGAGGAAGGAAGATGCTCCCAAGGTGGTACAGGAGGTGGATGGATATAAGCAAGAATGCAAGTTTAGGGTTCAAATAAATTCTGGAGAAATAAGCTGTGTATTGGGAGAGATACAGTGAGGTTAAGATTGATCTAAATTAAATAATATTACTACAGGTGGTTGGTGAACAAGATGGACCAGATACAACCAGGCAGCAGCAGACCACTACTGCACAGTGCCCCACACCTGATGACTACTGTACCACCATACTAAGAGAGAACAAAAAGGTGTTCTTGCACTACTAAGATTAGTAAGTTAAAGTTATATTACTGGATCTTCTAGTTAACTCTAACGATACTTGAGAAAATATTTAAAGTACTGCAGTGAAGAAATATACAGTATAAGAGACCCTTAATATTGTGTATTGGTAGTGATATAAAATGGTTTAAATAATTCAGACGTACAATATCTGAATTCAAACCTGTGTTGCAGGTGTTTAGTGTACAAGATGGACCAGACACAACCAGGCAGCAAGGTGACCACTACTGTACAGTTAACTCTACACCTTGATGACTACTGCAACATACTAAGAGAGGAACAAAGGTGTTCTAGGCTAATTACTAAGATTAGTGTTAAAGTTATATTACCGATTCTCTGTTTAACTTAACGATACTTGAGAAAATATTTAAAGTAATGCAGTGAAGAACATACAGTATAAGTAGACCTCAATATTGTGTATTGGTAGTGATATAAAAATGATGTTTAAATAATTCAGATGTACAAGATCTGAATTAAATTATGTTGCAGGTGTTTAGTGTACAAGATGGACCAGATACAAACCAGGTGACCACTACTGTACAGCTTCACACCTTGATGACTACCACCTTACTAAGAGAGAACAAAAGGTGTTCTGTACCTACTAAGATTAGTGTTAAAGTTATATTACTGGATCTTTCTGTTTAACTTAACGATACTTGAGAAAAATATTTAAAGTAATGCAGTGAAGAACATACAGCATAAGTAGACCAATATTGTGTATTGCAGTGATATAAATGATGCACACCAGATGTACAAGATCTGAATTCAAACTCATAAGTTGCAGTGTGCTTAGGTGTGTACAAGATGGGACCAGACACAACCAGGTGACCACTACTGTACAGTGCCCCAATAACCTGATGACCACTACCTTACTAAGAGAGAACAAAGGTGTTTGTACACTACTAAGATTAGTGTTAAAGTATTGATTGGACAAGACATATCTTTCTGTATAACTTAACGATACTTGAGAAAATATTTAAAAGTACAGTGAAGAACATACAGTATAAGTAGACCTCAATATTGTGTATTGGTAGTGATATAAAATAGCTTAATTTATTATAATATTACAGGTGTTTGGTGTATTAAGATGGGACCAGGCAGTAAGGTACTACTACTGTACAGGGTCCCACACCTTGACTACTGTACCACCTTACTAAGAACAATTGCGTTCTTACACTAAAGCTAAGTATTACTGACCCTCTTCCATATAATTTAACAAAACTTGGAGAATATACCTAAAGTAATTGAAGAATGTACAAGTAAATTTCTATTACAGCCTCACAAACATTAATAATAACTATATACATTATGTAAGGCATTACCTATCATGGTAGCCAAAGTATTGTGGTTACCAAAATTGTTAATTTTATATTTTTTGTCCACAGGCAGTATCAACAAGAGGACATCAACCAAATGGATCCATTTATCTGTGGTTTGCAGCCTGAGGCACGGTTGTTGAGTATACACAGATTGGGGGACGCCTGTGACTGAGGGGGGGACGCCAGATTGGGGGAGGGACGTCGTACTGGGGGGACGCTTGCATTGGGGGGAGGAGGCTCGTATTGGGACGCCGCATTGGAGGGCTAAGGCATTCGTGACTGGAGGCTATGCTTATAATGGCTTGCTCTTCAACAATATCTGTATGCTGTATAATCCAATAAATAAATATATAAACTTTTACGTTTATATTCCCAAGTTGAATAATATTAATATAAAACCATAAGTACAATAATGTGTGTATATATACACAGTACAGTACATGGAAGTAAAATACAGTAAGAGTTATATCATTTAATTATGCTGGACAATCTGACACCAATTGTTGAATGGGTCACTGCTTACTCTGTAATAGAGACGTATAAATCGCTGAAAAATTGTAATATAAGCATTATGTACCCACCACTAAAGACTGGTCAAATTTATAAAAATATCTGTTCTGTTAAGCCAAAATTATTCGCTGAAAAGCAAAAACTTCCATTATTATTCAAAAGCCAAATTTTGTGTAGACCAAAACCCGAGATTCATTCTAAAACATTAAGGTTCAGTGAAATAAACCAGTACTTTGTGGAGTCCACAATATAAAGGGTAGAGAAATTCAAGACCTGTGACGATGCATCGTCACTAATCCAAGACCCAGACGATGCATCAAATACTCGGCTCCAAGACCCGTGAAGATGCCTCAATCACCCATCCAAGACCTGTGACCATGCCTGTCACTATCATCCAAGACCTGTGACGATGCCTCAGTATCTGCCGAGAAACAACAGTATAGCTGTGCTGCTCTGTACAAGATGTTACCTTGTGTGATAACTTAAAAGTTCTCTCATTATCTTGTGTTAATATTATATAGTGTCGGCATAACATGATGCTATATGACCAGATATTATTCGTATCTTATTGTAATAAACGTAGTGTATATAATAAAAATATACTGTATATTCAATTCTTTTATTTTTTATCACCTATCTACAACCAAGCTAAAAATATCATTGCACACTGTATTTTTCTGTTGCTGACAAATAAATCTTCTTCTTCATTATAAAGCCGTGAATAAGGTAAGTGTTTGGTGATAATACTGCAGTAGCCTCCTCCTTATCCGGCTGGGACCGCATGTTCGTCCGAACATGGCGGAGTTACTACTGTGTATTCCCACGCCTAACTACGTGCTGTTAGTACTAATATAAACTTAACCTTATTACCTCCCTCCAGGCAGCACCTTGTTGTAGGCCCACAGTCAAATAAGTACAAAACTCGAATAAAAGTTTAAGACAACATTCAGAAATAC